CCATCCATTGAATCCATATCTCTCCAATTTACAGACAAGTATGTTGTGCAAGGCATTTGACACTGTCCCGCACAAGTCCAGGTAGATGACGTCAGTTGCCCTTCCCTTATCCACTGATGCTGTAACCCCATCACAGAAGGCCACCAAGTTTGTCAGGCACGATTTGCCCTTAGTGAAGCCATGTTGGCTGTCACCAGTCACCTCCTTATTTTCCATGTGCCTGAGCATAGTCTCTAGGAGGGTCTGCTCCATAATCTTGCCAGGCACGGAGGTGAGACTGACCGGCCTGTAGTTCCCTGGGTCTTCCTTTTTCCCCTTCTTAAAAATGGGGGTTATGTTGCCCCTTTTCCAGTCGGCGGGAACTTTGCCAGACTGCCAGGACTTCTCAAATATGATGGAGAGCGGCCTGGCCCCTTCATCTGCCAGTTCCCTCAAGACCCGCGGATGCAACTCATCAGGTCCCATGGACATGATGTAGACTTTGTAGAAACAGACTGCAGTAAGGCTCACCTGTGAACTTAAGTAATTTTTCCAGTCTCAAATGTCTTTGCATTGCTCTCTGTAATGCTAAGTTGTTACAGGCAATTTATGTCAAATTCAGTGTGTGCCTTTTGGTTTTGTGCCATGCCACACTGCAGTAATATTTAAGCATGCTCTTTGGGAGCCCTGGTTTATTGAAGCTTAGGATCCAGAAGAATAAGAGATGATTACCAGGACTGCTTGAGAGAAGCAAAAAATGTGTTGTATCAAAGAAGGGAATAGGACTGCAATATTGACTGGTATGAGAATGTAGCAAATGTCGAGAAAAAGTAGGTAGAAATGAAGGAAAGGAAATGAGAAAGGACCAGGAAGTTATAAATGAAATAAGCTAGGATAGTAGGACATAGAGATGGCACTGGGCGATGATAAAAACTTCAGTAGAAGACTGGGATGGGAAGGACTTCTGGGGACAGAGAATTAGTGAAATAGTATCTACAACACAAAAGAAACAAACACGATGAGATTTGCAAGAGTAATTGAATTGACGATGTAGACACATGGGAGGTGAGAATCAAGGAATTCATGCTTTCTGGGCATTTTGGATACAGATGTTGCAATTTGAGACCATCTTGATGTTAAGCTTTCATTCTTTTTTGATATTCACAGGGTCCAGCTAGCATGATGGCATACTTGATTATTTCAGGTTTTTTCCTTACACGTTTAAGGAGACCAATTGGCAAGATGACTATTATAGAACAAAAATATGAAGGGGAGTACAGATATGTCAACTCGCGACTTATTACAAACAGGTATAGATTCACTTGGATATCAAGATACAATTGACAAAGTAATACTGTGGTGTAAATGGAAGCTGTATATAAAAATATATTTGGAAAGTCTGATGCTATCAGTTGAGCAAAATGTTTGCATCTTTATGTAGATGATTATTAAATAACTCATGTGTGTGATATATCCCTAATTCAAAAGACAAACTGTAGCTGGGGTAAAATAAGCTTGTGTTCTACTGCTGTGAAAAAAGTACAAACTCATTTCATAAGATAACTGAAAGAACTATATTCCTGTGTTTTATGGCTGACTTTTTCAAAGACTGTCTTTAACAAAATGAAGTTGCACTCATTAAGTTTGTGGGGTTTTTTTTTTAGTGAAGAAATTGCTTTTTATAATGGAAATGTGAGAGAAAAACAGACTATTCACAAAACCTTCCGTAAACTGGTAAGACCTATTATTTTTTTAGAAACACTTTAAGCAAAGCTTCAATTTTATCACGGTGATTCTTGACATGTATTAATATAAATCAAATTATAGTGGCTTGGTGTTTATGCTGCTTTAAATCTAAGTCATTAGATTTAAAAATAAACTAGTAGGCTATAAGCAGAACACAAGTTTCTGATAGAATGGTCTTTCTTTTGCCACTGACCTCTTTCATCCACAATTACTATTCTCTCACTGCTTTGTTTCAAGTGTAGGTTGTTTTGATCTAGAGTGCAAGTCTTTGCCAGCAGGGACACTTGTGCAGTGCTCATCACAGTTAGGTGTTGTTGAGGTATCTGTATCTAGGAATCAAACTTCTGTAAAATAATAAAAGCTAAACAGGTACTGATATAGTTTGACCTTTTTTTCTTCTGGAACTTAACAGGTGGAACACCTGCATAATTTCATCCTGTTTCGGTTCTCGATGGGTTTCATTGATACTATCATTGCCAAATGTAAGTGTTTGTCCAGTACTAATGGATTGCTATAAATAACAGTGCTAAACTTTTTACATGAGAATACTCTTTTTTTTTCTTACTGCTTCAATTAATGTGTAGCTTAATATTTACTCTTAAACTGCAGACCTTGCCACTGTGGTTGGTTACCTGGTTGTTAGTCGTCCATTTTTGAACCTGTCTGATCCACGTCATCAGAATAGTACTCATGCAGAACTTTTGGAGGTAAATAAAACAGAATTAAAACAATTTCCTGAATTTAAATTTTGTTAGTCCACATAAACTTTCTTCTACTCTAGGATTACTACCAAAGTGGAAGAATGTTGCTGAGAATGTCTCAAGCTTTGGGTAGAATAGTCCTAGCAGGCCGTGAAATGACAAGATTGGCTGGGTAAGCTTAATAGTAGTAGTGTAAAATAATTTTTCTTAAAGTTATGTTGCTGCTGTTTCTCATCTCATTTTAAGAAACTGATTGTAGAATTAAAAGAAGTTTGTTGTGGTTTGTTCATTGCAGCACCCTAAAAATCTGGAAATTAAAAACATTTTATGCTGAAAACATATCTTGAAGATGTGCGAATTATGTCCACTAGTAATTTCATATCTGAATAGTAGTGTATAGTTTGAGTCTTTAACAGAAAAGACATTGTCAAATGCTCATAAATCAATAATGTATTATTTACCAAACTATTTAATTCTTTTTACATCTTAAGAAAAAATTATCAAACATTTGGCTATTATAGGAAAAGGCTGTTACATTCTTGTAAATGTTGTGACTGTCGGGCAAACTCAGTGCAACTCTTAAGATGTAAACATTCTGTTTCTATGTTGGGTTGAGTAACTGTCATTTTGACAGTTTAACAAAGTACTCATTAGAGCTTCTGTGGATTTCTAAAACTTCTAAAGATTTATTACTTATAGTTCTCTCTTTTTGTTTTGTTTTTAGTTTCACAGCTCGAATTACAGAATTAATGCAGGTTCTGAAGGACTTGAATAGTGGCAAATATCAGCGCACTATGGTATCACAAGAAAAAGGTAGATGTGACATAATATGCAATACCTGCAGCTCTGTGTAGTGTTCCAGTCTCTAATACTTTTTTCTTAATTTAAGATGCAGATAAAATGCAAGCTTTGCCTTTGATACCTGGATCTGGAGAAATTATCAACACTGATAACCTTATCAAGTATGTTTACAAAGTTTCCACAACTTCAGTATCTTTAATACAATCTGGCTTTATATCTTTTCCTCTACCACTATTAGTAAGGTTTTAATACGTATTATTAATGCAGTTTCTGTTGTACTATAGTTTATTTACAGATAATTCCACATCACTCCCACTCAGCCTTTCTATTCTGTAAGTCAATCCTTGTTCTCTCATGTTAGCAGAAGACATAATATACTGTCTGAACTTAGCCATTTTGGTAACATTTCCTGTGTCCGTTGGTTCCCAGACCATTTTTTTATCGCTTTATCAAATTTTTTCTTAGAAATACGTTGGTTACAGATTTGATTCCATGGTATAATTCAGCTGTAAAAATCAGGGGCAAGTCTGTACTCAGTTTCAAAATACTTGCTTATATCTTTGTATGCTTGGATAGTTCATTGACGTACTCAAGTAGCAATCAGTTCCTCAGTTCTTTGCAGTCTGAGGAACATACTGTTTACATAGTAGGGCTACTTAAAGGCATAAAGTAAAGCCAGTTAAGAGATTAAATGGCCTCAATCTGGTCAATGTGGAAAGCAGATAGTGGAGCAGGGGGGAAAGGGGGAGGAAGAGGGAAAGGAGATGGTAGACCTATTTTACTAAAAAAGCAAGGGGGAGGTGAGCAGAGAAGCCATTCATTGTGTATCCTAGAACTAATGGAATGCACTTCCACTAGCAGGTTTAAAATCAAGTGCGTCCTTAAATGTAGGTTTATATTCACAAGATGTTTTGGAGACAAAAGGTAGAAGGATTCGGAAAACAAATATATGGAGGAGGAAAAAAAATCTGTAGTGCTTAACAAATGTCTAAGGTACTGCTTTTGGTTCAAGAACTTTTTTTTTCAGGTTGGAAACTGGGACAGTGTACTGAATGAAGTATTACTGAAGTCTTACCCTATTCCTTATATCTCTGAGTAAGAATTCAGTATTAGCTGCTTTTGGGCAACTGCTTTTTTTTTTTTGTTTCAATACAAATAGGTTTGATCATGTTCCATTGGTGACACCTAATGGAGATGTTTTGATTCAAGACCTTAACTTTGAGGTAAAGTTTTTTGTTGTTTTTTAGTATTGTAGAAATCTATATTCATATAAAATTGAAGTGAAGATTATAATTTCAGAGGTAATCAGATTTACAAAAAAAATGTGGAAACAAAAATGGAGCGGTGCTTGTATGGCATGCTTAAATTTGAACAAAATTAATCATTGTGTTAGTTTAAAAAAAAAGGCAATAAGCTACTTTCCTCAAAAATGTTTTTATTGTTACAAGTGTGTTTTCTTCCAGCTGCTGTTGGTGCTTAACTAGTTGGAAAAAAATTAATTACTGGTTGAAATTACTCACTGTAGTATCAGAAACTACTATGTACAAGCCTATGTGGATAGCAGATTGTCTTATTGTTTGTAGAAGCTTTCAACAATTTTCTCACTACCCTTTTAATGTGTTGGCTTTGCATTTTTAGGTTCGATCTGGTGCAAATGTTCTGATCTGTGGGCCAAATGGGTGTGGGAAGAGCTCACTCTTTCGTGTTCTTGGTGAGGTAAGGGAGCTTTTTTAAATAAATGGGGGAGAATCCAAAGCACTATTGTAATTGGACTTTTTTGGTCAAGTTTAAACCTTTTTCTTGTTGTAGTTGTGGCCTTTGTTTGGTGGGCGTTTAACAAAACCTGTAAGAGGAAAGTTGTTCTATGTTCCCCAGGTGAGGCAAAGTATTTTAATTGAAAATAGTGTTCTCTTTCTTCCTACTTTAACTATGTTTACAATTATTTGACATACCTTTTTGTTTCTAACTGTGTGTAGAGACCATATATGACACTTGGAACACTCAGAGATCAAGTTATATATCCAGATACTTTGGAAGATCAGAGAAAGAAAGGAATTTCTGATCAGGTAATGATAATTAGTTCATTAACCCTTTGTCTCACTTAAGATGAGTAATGCTTCAGACTTAAAAATACTGAAATTGCTATTAAAAACACTGCATTTAGGGTTTTTTTTAATATTTATCAGAGTTGATAGTACACCAGTGTAATAGTATAACCCTTCATAACCATTTTCAATCATTTCTTCATTAAGTTCACTTAAGGTCTGTTTGTCATTCCTGTTTCAATAAAAGGTGCTGAAGGAATACTTGGATAATGTCCAGCTGGGTCAAATCTTGGAACGTGAAGGAGGCTGGGATAGTGTTCAGGACTGGATGGATGTACTCAGCGGGGGAGAAAAACAGAGAATGGCAGTATGTTTCAAAAGCATAAATACTTAACAAATACAGGACATAGGTTGAAAATGAATTGTAAGCAATTTTTGTTTACTAAATGTTAATATTTTGCTTAAAGAAGAAACCCCCAAAATGTGAATTAGCTGAATACTGAAAACCTAAAATAGTGCCTATTGTACTCAAAACTTAATATGTAATGTTGACCTTTTACCATACTTTATACTTTGATTGTATAAACAGAAGTTCTAAAATAATTTGTTTTTAAAAAAAAAAAGTAAGATAATATACAACTCTCAGATTTTCAGGCTTCAGTGGGTGCCAACTTCAAAGAAATTCCCTTGCCGCAGCAAACTTTTGGATACTAATTCTTAGTTTAACCTCTAACACTGCATTATTTGTTGTAGTTCTGTATCCATAGTAGCTTTTTGGTTTGCATTCCAGATGGCAAGGCTATTTTATCATAAGCCCCAGTTTGCAATTCTGGATGAATGCACCAGTGCTGTTAGCGTTGACGTAGAAGGCTACATTTACAGCCACTGCCGAAAGGTAAGCTCTTTGTTTCTAGAATTATACTTCTGTATGTTAACAAGAAACTTAAAGTGATACAAGGTGCACTCTTCCTTATGCCTAGTGCAGATTAAAAAAACCCAACAACTTAGGGCATGCAAGAACCCTTTATGCACACTAGAATTCAATAATTGTTTTTGTAGTCTTAAGATAACTTAGATGTACATGTGGCCTCTGTATATCAGAGAACTCTTATTAACTTATAAGTTACCTTATGTTTTCAGATAAACTCTTAGAATGTCGAGTGAAGATCAAATAATCTAAAATTTGATACTTTTTTGTTGTTTTGGCCAGGGCAACAGAAGTGAAAGGCTAGAAGTTAGCATTTCCATCTATTTTGAGATATGAAAAGCCAAGCACTTTAGGAAAATATGATGATATTAAATATAATTTTATTTTTCCTTTCCCTCTTGTACTCACCTTTTCAGAATCTGCATAGTGCCGTGTGAAATATCAATTTCACACCTCTAGCCTGGCAAAGAATGGGCTTGAAATAACATTAATGATTGAGTAGCAGTATTCTCAGAATGGTAATGGGGCAAAGCCGTGCACGTGTTGTAACAGATGCTTGAAACTTGAAGTGGGAACTTAAGGAGCCTTCTGTAGTAGTAAATTGACGCTAGATGAGGACTCTGAAGAATGGACATTATTTCTTTAACTCATTTTACCACACTAATATCAAAACCCTGACAATTAAGTCTGTTTTGCATATACTTGTTATTCTGTTAACTTGGATGTTTATTTGTACTCTTGTTTTAGAGTTACCGTTGCTGAATGGCTAAGGCATGTTACTGAAATAGAATTCCTGGTTAAGCTGTGCTTGCAGAAAGAAAAAGTTTTACCCTGTTTTATCAGAGCCATTTTGTCTTAATTGGTGCTGTTAGGGATGTATAATTAACTGAGTTGCAAGGAAACAGAGGAAGATTATTCACCTTTAAATTGTCACTTTAAGTTTATAATTCATTAATAGCTTTTGTGGGTTTGGTTTTTTTGCTGTTAAAGTAGACTACTTCTAATTACCAGATTTGTTGTTTTACCTGCCTCCTACCTTACCTCTCTTACCCAGTTCATTCTATGTTTTGCCACATCATTAGGAGCAAAATAATAGTGAAATCAATTAAAAAAAGATAAATCCTTTCTGCTTTCTTTTACTACAACATTTTCTATTAAGGCTACATATGTGTACTGTTAATAATTGAGCCTGGAATTTTGTGTTTATGAATTTAAGCTCTTCAGCTGATATGCTGAAAAATAAATAACATCTAACCCATGAGAAAAATTAACTGCTCTATTTGTATTTTCTTCATGTAGGTTGGCATCACTCTCTTCACTGTCTCCCACAGAAAGTCACTCTGGAAACATCATGATGTACGTAGCTTTTGCTTTTGCTAAGGATATCTGTGGGTGGTAGGGATTTTGTTTGACTTTCTATTGAATTGACTTTACAAATCAATGTGTTCTTACTTTACATCCTAATAGGTCATGTTCAGGTTTTTTAAGAAGGCTTTACTTTCATAATCCAGTTGCACTATTTGAAATACGCTTCTAGTTATGAAGGGGAAAAGTAACTAAAATCCTTAAATGTATCTGTAAGAGTAGCCTCAAAAATGTGAAAGGCTCACTAGATACTTAAGTCTTCTTTCTTAGTCTCAAAAACCCGCTTGAACCAAAAGCCAGTAAACAGCATGGAATTTTGGTTTAAAGATACTGTATCTATCTGTAAAAGAAGTTCATGTCTAATATGTGGACTTCTTTTCTTCCAAATTAAGATTTTACTATTTTTTTATACAGACTGTATGTGTGGGGAAAAATACTGACTTAATACACAGGGTTGAATGTCTACCACTTAAGTATACTTTCACAAAACCCAAGATAAGAGTGTTAAGTCTGTGTGACCATTAGCAGACTGATGGATGATGTGAACAAAAACAGTTTAACTTTTTTCCAGAGGCAATTGAATTTAGTGAAACATGAGATGGGAGAAGCTTACCCTCTGGATACTGAGTTTAAGATTTTGCATTAAAACTACTTCAAAATATAATTTATTTAGGCATTTATAGACCTGGTAACTTTTAGGTAGTTGATAACATGTTCTTTTATTTCAGTTTTACTTGCATATGGATGGCAGAGGAAACTACGAGTTCAAGAAAATAACTGAAGACACAGTTGAATTTGGATCTTAGTCATGAACTGAACTGCTACAGAGACTGATTACAGGAAGTGTGTAGAATGGCAAGCATTGTACAATAAAACTACTCAGCTTGTTTTTAAAACAAATTAACTAGGATAACCCAAAACAAGCTGTTAAGCGTTTACTATTATGTAGGATACTGCTAATTGTGTATATGTTGGTTTAATTATTGATATGTACTAAGAATGTCCTTATTCTTGTGGTTTAAAAACCTGCCTAAATTAAATTGGGCTTAAATCAGTGTAACCTGATTCATCCTGGGATGCAAACCATTTGAAATCAGCTGATTTGACTTTTGTAGACCTTCTTTCCCTTCAGTGAAAAGCCCTGTTAAAATTAGGGTTGCTACCTCTCTTGTTTCTGCAAAGCAGTCTTGGATTTTTGCTCTGTTCTATGCATATTTCTGAGTTATCTCACATGGTGCAGGACATTCTCCCATCTTCCGGTCTGTGCCCTGTTAACTGAAAGAGCCGTTTCCTTGACCAAGCCTTGTGATGTAGCCGATATGCCCTTGCTGATAAAGGATGGACTGAACCTAAAAGACAAAACTAATTCCTTCTGCTAAAATAATTAACCTTGTTCTTTGCTGCATTTTGGATTCTGTTTAACATCTGTCTGTCCACGCAACTCTCTGCTGCTCAGCAATCCCATTCTCTCCCAATTTAGCAAGAGCTTCATCCATCCCAAACCCCAGCTGCCCTTTTTCTGTCAGAGAAATACTATGGTAATGAAGCGTTGAGAAGAGGTTGAGGAAGGAAAGGACTGGCAAAAAAAAAAAAAAGGTGGGGGGGGGGGGGGGGAAGTGCTGTTCCTTGTATCAATCAATCTTGTGCATGTTTTCAGCTCTGAAGAAATGAATGACTCCCACAAGTAGAAACAGAGAAAAGAATGTGGGTCCGATCATTATTCTTTTGAAATCAGTAGGGGTTAGAATGGACTCAAAAATGTTGATCTGTGAAATAGCAGATTGTCTGTCCTGTGTGTGTTCAGTCCTGTAATACAGCAGTTGCTTTTTCTAAGTTCCTCCTTCCCCACCCCTCTTTAAAAAATCATATCTCCTCATGATACTAGCTGCCCTTCAGGTCTGAGTTTTTGAAAGCAAGTGATAATGTGATAATGGTACTGCCTGTTTGGCCTTCTACACTGTGAAGCTGAAAATGATGCTTTCTTCTTTCATGTTTATTCTTTTTATTTCTCATGAGGTTTCTTGATTTCTGATCTAAATTATTCATCAGTGATTTCTCACCATTTTCTAAGGATCTCTAGTCCCTGCTGGTTTTTGTGTTCTAGCTGCCAAATTCCCTTGAAGAAATCAAACTCACTTAAATAGTTTACTGTAACTGTTTTTTCCATACAAATGATTACTGTGGTTGCCATGTGACTTAAACATAAATGCAGCAAGGTGATTTTTGTGATCAGGGAATAGGAAGGTATAACGCAAACCGAATCTCTATTTAGGCTTTAAAACAAAAATTTACAATACCTGTTGTACAGTGAAGGTCTAGTAGTTTTTTAGTGTTCCACATAAGATATAATATAGGAATGCACTACATGAAGGCATGCATAAAATATGCAATAAAATCTGTTCTCTGCATCTTTTATCAAGGGTTTAGATTAAAAACAAACCTAACTCTTATAAAAATGGATATGTACTTGGATGCACTGCTGTCTGTTAGTTTTTACTCAATGAGATTAGTTGTCATCTTTCAGGTTGAAATTGCTACCTTAACAGGTATCTTTCCTTTTATCACAGTTCTTGCCCATGCCTGTCAGTACTACTCTTCTTTCATAGTACTCAAATGCCAACAGCTGTCCTGATATAAGAATCTAGTGACCACAGTAGATTCATAGTATAATGCATCAATGAAAATAAAAAATCAGTGAAAATCTCTGAAGTATAGCATATTCAAGAGAATAAGGTACCAGAATAAATTTTTGTGCTTGGTCCACAAGAAGGCAAATATCTCATTTTACTAATTCTTTTCTGTTCATTCAGATTCTCACATCAGCCATAACATAGCAGGTAGCAGCATGCTGTTTGTGAGGTGGTAGTCTTTTTTTTGTTCGTTTTTAATTGTAACCATGAAAATATGGATGCTAGATAGCCTTTTTTGTGAAAGTTCTGAGCACAAATGCAACTTCTTCCCTTTGAAGGGATGTTTTAGTAGCATTTTAGAGAGACGAAGACAAAAAGAAAATCTCTAAAATGAGGAAGTTGCTATTATCCTTGTGACTAGGGCAGACTTCGCAGTGGAGTAGCGAACTTGGGATACTCTAATGTATTTTTAACACTGACAAGCAAAATCACACACAGCATGCTTATATAGCACCCCAGCAGCCAATCCCAAGGTACTTTACAATTCAATTGGTTAATAACAGAATTTTATGTAACCTCAGATCTACTTTAAAAAATAAAAAATTTAAAAATCCAACTCCATAACCGAGGAGGAATAGGTTTGCCTTTAGATGCCATGAAGTTCTTTGAAACTGAGGATGCTAGTATCTCTTTAGGGCCAGGACTTAGTGTTTCTAAATATACTGGAAGGAAAGAAAAATATTCTTCTGCCCTTGATTGTAAGAGAGGCTTATAAAGGAAGTATAAAAAAGAATGATGTTTTAGAATGATGCTCTTAAAAGACCTTACATTAAAGTATTTTGAGATAGACTTGGTCTAATGAAAGATTGTTTAAAAAAATCTGAGGAAAATGGTCCAAGTCTCAGTTCTGTTGCAGAATTGCACTGTGATACTGTATTTTAGCTGTTAGGTTTTTTAATAGCACAAGTTGGAAGTTTTAAAATTGGAATTCTGAACTATCTTAGTAAGACAAAGTACTGATGAATATTTTCAGTCTCAAACTGTTGGTGCTTTGAAGATGGTACTGGTAATAGTCAGATGGCTGCATTTCAACCGTGGTGGGAAACATTCCTGTGTGTAAATACTGTAAAGTGCTTTGGAGGGGTAAATGGCGCTATATAAATGTAAGACATTAAGTGCCTCTGAAATAATAATAAATCTAAAGACAAAATATATCTAGGCTTTTTATGTTTCTTGATGTGATTAGGAAGTTTGTAACAATACAGTGAATGCCTGCTCAACAAATCTCAAGTTACTTAATGAGCCAATTGACTTGTGTTCAGCTTATAAAGTCCGTAGTACTGTCTGCAATTCACCCTGGAATCAGCCAGACGATGCTGTCCACTTGTAGGCTTAACAAAAACCGTGAGCTCAGTACTTGGGAGATACATACTCAGAGCAATTGGATTATAGGTGTGTTAATATGTTTTAAGTCTGCACTGATTCTGACCTCTTCTTTGTCCACTGGTCTCTTCCCTTCAAGTTTATTTTTAGAAGGGTGTGGGCCTAAAGGTTAACATATCAGTACTTCGTGTGGTAATTCTTTTGAGTGCACCTTAATCTTTTTACTTTGAGGAAAATAGGATAATCACTCTCCACCTTTATTGTATTTGTGGTTTTTAATGTTTTTCCTTTTATTGTGGTAGACATACAAGCTGTCAGGATGCTTGAAACTCAGTAGAGTAAGAATGAAACCAAGATATTCTTGAGTGGACTGACTTTAAGGGTCTTCTCTTGTGATCAATATTTTCTAATGCTAATTAGTACTTTTTTTTTCCCTCTCTTAGCTGAGATTATTTGTGCAACAAGTGTATTGTGTAGCATTCTTGAGGGTAGAGCTCCCTTTGAAAGTAAATCCCTCAACCAAGGATGCAGTCTAAAAAAATCTAAGTGTCATTCAACTTAGCTGATGAGCTGGAGAGGAGAAAAGGAACTTCTGTGTTGTGAATGCAATGTTTAATACTTAATATTTAGAGTAGTGTGAAGTCTGTTACTTGTTCAACTCTGGGCTCTCAGCTACCCAGTCCATTCCAAATGCTTGATTTGTATGGCTTCAACATTTTAATTCTCCCTTATGTAGGGGAAAAACATCAGTCCCTGGAACAGTAGAACTAAAATCATAGAGCAACAAATTGAAACTCCTTGTCAAGGATCAATCCACCATCTTTTGAGTAGCTTTGGTCCAGTATTTCTGAATGTTTACTGAAGTTCCAGACAGCTGTCCCTTCTCAGCAAAAATTAAGTTTCCTTGACAAAGGTTTTGTTTGCGAGGGGATGGTGCTTTCTACAGGACTAGTATGAGACTGGAATAAGCTACAAGGCGAACAGAACATCGCTGTGAGCCTTGTCATCTTCTATCCCAAAGTGCACAGCATGCTTTACTGCATCATGGATATATTTTTCTTGCCAGAAAACCCAAACAGCAGGAAACGCACAAAAATCCAGCCTACCTCTGGGAAAAGTTGGCAGTGTGAGCTACATCCTAGCCAGTCTGCATATTGCATAGATGTTTCTTGCCCAAATGTGGCACAGAATGGAGTAGACACACCTGGCTGGACAGCCCAAATATAAGATTACTTTAGCACCATTTGAAAGTGACTTGTGCTATAAGAAAATTCTGGATATATTGCTGCTTCATTAGCTCTGTACTGTATACTGGAGAAGATGACTAGTGAGAAACAAAGCGCCATGACACTTACTTGACAGGTTTTCTAATTAAATCCCATCTAGTATTGACAACTTAAATAACTTAAGTGTCTGCAGAATAGGGAATTCAATCTTCATGTTTCTTAAATCTATAAAGAAGAAATATCCTGTGGATTAGGACTGGAGAGAAAGAACTAATTTAGTGGTTCTTCCATAGGATTCAGCACTCTGCAGACTCAACAGACACCAGTGCATCACCTAATCCTTGGTGTTCTAAGTGATGTAGAAATGTGAAAAAACATTAAGGTGTCCTGTCATTAAGACAGGATTTAAAAATCTATTTTTAAAATTTATATATAATTGTCATACTATGAGATGTCATAGAAATGTCAATGATAATGATCACCTGAAATCCAACTGTGAAGAACAGTAGGGGGAAAAGTGACCTTGGTTTTATAGAAAAAATAAACTGCAACTTTTATCTGTCAAGAAGAAAATCAATGGTGTGCAAGTTCAAATTTCTGCTTGTAAAGATGCTGTTCAAAACACTTATTTCTATGTACAATGTATTTGCTTCTTTATTAGGTGTAGGTACCAGTTGGTTTGTCCTAGTCCTTTTCATGAGCATGGAAAGAGGTTTCTTGGTTTTATGAATCAGTGATGTGCAGCTGTTCTGGGAGGAGGTTGGTTTTCCTTTTGTGTGTTGTGGTTCCAGGGTCTTGATATTGCTCTAGATACAGTCAACTAGTTGTTAATGATACCTTAACTTCACCTGGAAGTCTAGAATGACTGTGCATGTTACAGGTACTGTAATATGTGTGTTTATTTGTTCTGTTGAAACTCATCCTGTCGTGTGCATTCAAACATAAGGTGAAACTGGTTTCATCTTGAAACAGAAATATAGACAAGCTAGGTTACTATGAAAGCATTTTGTCTTTCATGGTAAAACCTTAGAAAAATGTTATCTTTAAAGTTGCTCAGCCATCTTTGAACTGCTACATCATTTTCTTTCCTTGGATGCAAAAGCAGAGCCAAATGACAAGCAGCCTGGAACTTCACAGACAGAAGCTGTCTTAAGGGAATAATTTGAAAAATGACAGATTCAGTTTTTAAATAGAAATAACATGCCTAAACATCTGGTGAAATTCCGTGGGGATTGACTTTGGAAACTGAAGACATTTTGCCAGCAATCCTGTGAGGAATGCAGTAGTGCAAGAATAATCATCCAACCAGCATTTTAAAATAGGAGAGAAGGGGAACTTGGGCACTCCACTTATGTGGAAT